CTTTTTTTTTTTTTTTTTTTTTTTTTTTTGCAATTTATCAGTTCGCATTATTTCAAGGACAAAAATTATTTGTAATTCTTTGTAATTAAATTAAACTGCAATAGCTTCTTAAAGTCTCAAAGATTGATCCTGTTCGACTGACATTATCTAGGCCACAGGATTTAGCCATTAGCTGAACAGCTATTTATAGTCAAATACTGTAGCTACTCTACAGGCATTGTTCGGCTTGTTAAACTACTGTTGTAGATAATCCAACTATTCTAAAATGTCACCAATAGTTATAGTTGGTGACGCCATTATTAAAAATGAATGTGATAAAGATTACAGCAGTAGGAAGTACTTAAACACATCCCATAGTATGAAAAAATATATATAATGGAAGTCAATGGCTACCACCAATTGTTTTGTTACCAGCATTCTTCAAACTATCTTATTTTGTGCTCAGAAAGAAAGAAACTCATACAGGTTTGGAACAACTTAAGGGTGAGTAAATGATGACAGAATCTTCATTTTTGGGTGAACTATCTCTTTAAAAAAAAGATGTGGTAGCAATGGGCTTTGTGAAGATACTGTAGAGAAGGGATGTATGCTTATTGTTTGGTGTTAGTGGCCTGGTTTTTGTGTTTTATTTTTTTATATACATTAAAATTCTGTCACTTTCTAGACTTGGAATTCAGCTTAGAACATGATTGTCATAACCTTGTGGGCTGATTGCAGACATATGGTGCAGTAGCTCCTCGGGCGACCCATGTTCAAGTTCCAGCTCATGGAGAGCCAACATGGATATGGCATGGACAAGAGAGTCAATGAAATTTAAGATGATTTTGAGTACAATGAAACCTATTGCACTTATGCAAATGAACTATATTATATAAGTATGTCCAACTTTATTTGCATACATAGAGTATAAGCATGAAGGACGATACATTATATAGCAAATTTCATCTGCCTGATTGCAAATTGTAAACTACTGTATATTATCTCCCAGCTGTAATCTGCTTCATGCGACTGTAAGGCATGCAGATATTAAGATCGCAAAACATTAACATCATGCTTTTCTGTAAAGCTGCTTAGAAACAATGTGTAATGTGAAAAGTGCTAAATAAATCAATTTGACTAGACTTGGCATGTATGCAAACTCACAGTCAAGTCGGGCTCTGTTCTAGTATGCAATGTAACATCCGCTTTTCATGATCCAGTCAGTTCGAATCGATAGATCAAATCAAATCATTTCTTGTTGAATATCTTGTTTTACTTTAAAATACATCGCATTACAAAAGTTGCAAAAACTCTTTCATGCTGACTTGAAAGCTCTGTCTCTGTTCTTCTCTACATAGATTAACCATCCATGCTGAGTGTCCTATGCATCTGGAGGATTTTCCTATGGATGCCCATGCCTGCCCGCTGAAGTTCGGAAGCTGTAAGTAATTCTCTGTTGTCGTCATTTAGTTTTTCTAGATTGCGTAATTGACAGCTGCTCAGATTCTCTGGAGTATTTTATATACATGCTGCCTTGTGCTTGGCATCGAAATCTGTGTAACATACTGAACTGGATTAGGTGGGTGCAGGTTGAGCATCTAACTGCCTGTGACTACGGACAGACACTTGTTTGTCTTCAAGACAAAAAAATTCTTAGCAGCTTATCTTCTAGACACAGCTCAGAGAACCCAATAACACAGTGTCTTTCTCCACAACTCAGAACTCAGCACATAATGTCACACCTGATGCCTATTATCCATCTGCGTTTGCTCCTTACAATAAACAACATTTATCCAAGTCAGCATTGTCGTTAGAATACAACATAAAACCCCAAAGGCAGACCAAAAAATATGGACCTTATTTTTCCTGTGTGGAGTCACCAGTCCTAAAACAAACAAACATGTTTCGTAATTCCCCTCCTGTGCAGAGCCTTAGATTAATAGCCCAGCCAATGACACCAAAGGTCACCATGACGCAGCAGTCACACCATTATGAATAAAACATCCCACTGGGCAATAAAACCAAAGTCCTTTGCTCATACATTTTCAGTAGTGCCTTTCCCCCCATAATAACTTTTTTTTGACAGGTGCAGAATGGTGACCCCTCACTGGATTTGTGATTCATGCAGCAGAAAGACAGCAAAGAATTGGCTCTTTAGCAAGACATCGCACAATGGGCTGCATAATTAGTGGCTTTGTTAAGCACTGTTCCCTCAATCCCCCAATCAATCCACTCATTTGCTTTTATGTTGGGTTTTTTTTTCTAAATTTTCTTTTTTGCTCCCGCCTTATATTGCTATTACAAAGTTGTCTGTTTGTTTGTCTCTTTAAATATTTGTCATGTTTCAAGGCACGTTTTCCCCCTTCTGTTTAAAGATCTGTGAAATAGTAGAAAAGTGCTCATTTAGGTTGATTTTGATTTTGTTTTTGCATTGCTGGAGAAATGTTATCATTAATATTAATAACAGCTTGTTTATTCCCTTTAAAGCAAGCTGAGCACATCTTCAGCTATAATAAACTTGATATGATGAATAGTTCAAAACATCTTTTTTTTCTTCTTCTTCTTTTTTGTCACATACACTGTGATTTTATGGTGCTAATTAATCTGGTAACTGTCAAAATATCCACTGACTTAGGTATTACAGTTCCAGAAGTGCCCTATAAGCATAATTATTATGCATCACTCTGGAATACAAGATTCTAATTGGTCAGTCGTGGCAAGCAATGTTTCTTGTGCCACTCTTATATTAGTAATTAGTATGTTTTAAACTCACATTATGTCTTTTTGTTAAATTCATAAAAAGAATATGCTCATAAAAGTCATTTGTTCATGAATGAGACACGATTTAGTTTTGTGCGCAAACATCAATAGAAAGACATGTTTTCTATTTACTTTCTTTACTCTTTACGTGATTTATTTTGCTTGTAGTTTGGTGTTCTGCCCTCACTGGCAAAAGAATGCAGACATTCAAGGACCATTAACATGAACGGCATAAAAAAATCATCTTGATTCTCAACCGTATTCTATTTTTCTTCTTCTTATTTCTTTTCCATTATTTGGTCTGGTAAACTGGTAAAAGGATCATTTCACACCAGCAGAACGAGTGTCTGGCTTTTATATGACTGCCAGCCATGATGATTTATAATTGAGGCTAATGCATAATGGCCAACAGCGTAGAGATCTAAAGACACACAAGCTCCTCATTCCCTCGTTAACCAGCTGCTCATTTTACAATAAACAACCATTTGAGGTGTGCGTGTGTTTTGTGCAGTAATATGTAACGATTCTAATGAGACTTAGAAACTATCATTGGACTGTTAATCAAATTATAGCAAGGTCATTCACATAAAAACAGTCCTCTCCTTCTCCAATCCAATTTGAATTGCTTCTAATTCATCCTCTCATGTTCTGTTCTTTTTCTCACTCCCATCCCCGGGAGTGAGCACTAAATTTAAGACTTTTCTTGTAATGTGCTGAAAGTCTTTGACACCATTGAACTTTTCAGCCTATAGCCATTTCTTGCAGGCCAGACTAAATAAGAAACGATGCCAGTCGTATATTTTAAATATTTATTTAAATATGGAATAATGCACTTCATTATCAATTACTATTCATAATGGATGAAGTGGCATTAAACTTGATGTGTTTAGCTTTTGATTAATGACCTTCCAACAGAATAAAACAATAACGTTTCTCTGTGGCCATCAAAATTTAATTAGCAAACCTCAGCCTGCTGTGTGAATTATGTTTCTAGTGTTAAGCCTGCCAGCTTTTCTCCCGCTCACTTGCTCAGAGTCGTGTGGGCGCACATGTGTCTGTCTGTGTATGTGTGTTGTTTGTTCTGTGTACGGACCCCAAGATAATTGTTTGTCCTTGTGTATTCAAACACAATAAGTATTGTGTTACATTTCCCCGTTATATACATTAGATTCAAGGAAGCTGCTAATCGGAGGGAGCAGATGACCCATAGTTAGTCAGCTTTTATTAAAGTTGCATTCCAATTACCCTCACTGAGATGCATTTATTCATTATACTGCCCCCTATTTTATCATGAGCTCTGTTTTGTTCTAAACTGTGAATTTTCAGTTGGTGTTTTTCCAACCCAGCAACTATATCATTCATGGATTCTCTCAGAAGGCAAACAGACCAGTAAAATGTCTTTGCATTCAAACTGCACAGTGCATTTTGAATTGGTTATCAGTACAACTTTTAGCATGCATAATATTTTGCAAAATAGGTTGTAAAATAACTTATTTATACACTACACTTTTTAATGAGCAAAGAAGTACTAGCCAAAACAAAATACAAATATTGGTTTGGCCACCTAATTGTTTAAACCTCTTAGCTGAGTTCTTTTATTTTTAATTTAGTTTGGACATGTCCTCCAAACAAAAGTGTGTGGTAACACTTTATTTTAAGGTGTCCTTTTTACACACGTTCCTTACTATTATAATAACAATTAATTATGCATAATTACATGCAAGTGACCCTAAGCCAAAACTTATTCCTAACCTTAACCCTATGGTAAGTACATGATGTTAATTAATATTACTCAGTAAACAAATAATTGCACTGTAACAAGGACACCTTAAAATAAAGTGTAACCAAATATGTTACTATATGTATACAGCATATGGATGCTAACAGCCCTTAGGAAGGTGAACAGTTAATAAACAAATAACTATAGCCTATAAAAATCACGAAAAGTCCCTGAAATACACTAGTGATGGATCATTCACGAAGGATATATTCATTGCATCTGTTACATGACAAATGAACGAAAAACTCAGGAGATAATCATGTCTCCTCATAAGTGATATTTGGCTGCATTATATTGATTTCATAATTCGTAATATGATCTAGATTGTGTAGTAGGTGGACATGTTCCATCACTATTATTGACCTTAGTCAGGTTAGACACCATATAGAATTTCAGACAGATGAAAATGAGGCTGCGAGGGATAGACTTGCAGTCTGAATTCATGTGTGAAAACTTATCCTAGAGTGCTAATTAATGCATTTACTAACAAACATGCACTAGCATGTAGTCAAGGGTGTCGTTATTCACACATGAATGACACACATATGACTTATGTCATAGTTAAAGGTGGGGTAAGCGATTTCTGGTAGCCAATGTTGACATTTGAAATCACCAAAACAAACACGCCCCTACCCCAAAAGGGTCTCGCCCCTATTTTGATAGCTCCGCCCCACACATACGTACGCAACCCAGGCAACGATTAGTTCTGTGAAACAAAGCAAAACCAATGTTACACCGTGTCTACACCGGACGCAAGTGGCGCGACAAAATACTATGGAACTCATTATAATCAGTGATGCTGTCTACACCATAGATATATATATCTATGGTCTACACGCAGCATGACACGACAAATCCCCGACAGACAACTGCTGCTGCGTTCTATTCATGACGTATTGAAACAAATTTCAAATGATTTTCAACAATTGCTTTGTCGCATCCAGTGTACTAGACAGACTTTAGCTGTTGCGGCGCAGACACGGTGTTACTCACCTATCGAGAAGAAACAAAGCAACCTCGGCGTCCGAACGCAGGCCTTCCGCTCCTTGAGTTCTCTCCAGCGCTGGAAAGCTGATCCGATATTTACACGGGTCCTACTTCTTGCCATATTGCCTTAAGCCTTCTTTTGTTCCGCAGACGTTTTCCTCTTTTGTTTTTTATCCACCATCTCTATCTTTCTGTCGCTCGGCTCGCTAATGTCCGTCCTGTGCACTGAACACTCTCCCCTCCACATCATGAGTAGACACGCCCCGTACTGCTGATTGGCTACAAGTTTGTTTTGCTAGTCGGCCCGAATCAATTTTCTAAAGCGTTTTTGAAAAATCGCTTACTCCACCTTTAAGGTTAGTTCTTGATTAGTACATGCCTTAACTCATCATTAGTACATATTAAAGTAATTTTTAATGTAAGTATTAGTTCATGATTATTCATTGTAAATGGTTGCTAAAACTATTTAGTCAAAAGTATTCGTTTTTATAAAGACTGCATTAAGAATGCTCACATGAAATTAAATCTAAATATAAAGTTGCAAAGGGCAAACCTAATATTTACTGCTAGTTGAACTAACCAGTCTGTCTAGAAGTATTGTTTTATGTGCACTACTGTCACCACACTTCAGCATGTAGATATGAAAAAAAACGCCCATGCAGTAAATGGTAAAAGTGAACAGCATTGTAATTGTTTATAAAAGTTTGGTCAGAATAAACCAGTACTGCTGTGGTTTGTCTTTCTAAGATGCCTACACCAACAATGAGGTTGTCTACATCTGGACAGCAGATGATGAGAAATCTGTTTCTGTGGCTCCTGATGGCTCTAGACTCAACCAGTATGACCTGTTGGGCCATGTCATTGGCAAAGAGACCATCAGCTCCAGTACAGGTAAGTACTTTTATATAGTGAAGTTAAAGCAGATCAAAAGTGCTGGTTATGATCTAGGCAAATGGTAGCGAATGAAGAAGGGAAAATATAACATTGTTTTACATTTTTAAATCATTGCATAATTCCCATTGTATTTCTGTTATTTATAGTTTTAATGCATTATTTAGTATTATTCTGCAGTGTGGAAAATCCATGTATATCACATTATCTTTATTGTCAATGACAATAAAGAGTGCATAATCAGTTACTAAAACCAGCATTTTCAGAGCTGTTTCTATGACATGTTGGACCAGGCAAAAGTGAAACAAGCAAGCAGACTGAGAGTTTCACAGCATCACAGTACATATCATGGTAATTGTCAAAACCCAGCTTATTTTCCATTTTTTACAACACCAAATCCCGTGTATTTACACTGAATGCTGCAGTCTGCCTTTTAAAAGGTATCCTTGAAATATGTAAAAAACATCTGCCTTCCTTTGTTTATCGGTATTTGAGGCATAGTTACAGATTCATGCTGGATAATGAAAACCTCTCTTGCTCTTTAACACAGTTTATTTATATGCATGAGTCTGTAATACTCTTCTGTACATAACCTTCTCTTTATGAAATCTCTCTTTTGACAACCTGGATTAATTAATTTTCCTTGCTTCCCACATGCTTTTCTCCTTTCTTCCAGCTTCAACATACGCTTACAAATTCCATTTTGTCTATTTGTAAAGCAATTTATCTAACCTGCTTTGCAAGCACCTAGCTTATCGATTGCTTCTGTCACAGTTATTGGGGTCATACAGCCTCTGTGAAGCAGGAAGGACTCAAACAAGTATGAGTGCCCAAGAAAAGTGTGTGTGTGCTCAATAAGACAATGTGCACATGTCAAAATGAGAGATGAAATTGACCTCAAGTCTACATTATTTGTGGTGCACTTCTTCTACAGCCATTGAAAGAGAAATTGGTCATAGATGAGTATGCTTTAATCCAAAGGTATTATATAGTTTATAGAAGTCCAGATTCCAAATTTCCCTCCCAGCATATGTCTGGGTCCCACTTTATATTAGGTGGACATAACTACTATGCACTTACATCAGAAATAAGTACAATGTACTTTTTGTGTTCATGTTGTTTTTCAAAACACTTGTTCTGCTATTGAGGTGGGATACGGTTAAGGTTAGGGACAGGTTTAGTGGTATGGGTAGGTTAAGGTGTAAGGGATAGGTCAACAATGTAATTATAAATGTAATTATAGAAATGAATTACACATGTAATAACATGCAGGTATTTTTAATACTGTATAAGTACAATGTAAAAACATGTATATACACAATAAGTTCATTGTATCAACTGATTAATTTAAATGTAAGTGCATAGTAGTTAAGGCCACCCAATGTAAAGTGGGACCAAAGTCTGAATCAAGAGCTAATTCTTGCTCATGTGTGTTCATTTCTGGGAATATGTGAATAATTGTTGCATGACTGAGACAGGGAAAAATATAAAATGCTTTTACACATGAGCAAGAACTATAATGTAACTAACAGAATGAAATGCACATGATTTATGTTTTTCTTCTTCTTTTCTTTTCTTTTCTTTTAAACGGCTGCTTTTTGCCATCCTCGTGATGTAGTTCCTGCATCTGTTGCCTCTTGGCCCTCACAAATCACAAGCAGAGGTTAATCAACATTTAATCAACATTTCAACTCCATGAAAGGACTGGGGGCTTGAGCTCCAGTAAAATAACACTGTTCCATACGACGTATAAAAATAGCAAAAATGAAAAATAAAAGTCAGAATTTTAGCCAGAAACTGACTAAAACTGACTAAATGAATGAATATGAGTGTAAAGTACATCATCGAAAGAAAAAGCCTACGAATAAAACTAAAATATTGAAATAAAAATGAACATTGGCAGACTGGCAGCTACAGTGGGTTGTTAAAGTGAGAAGTAATGAATCATAAATTGACAAAACATTCATTCCAAGACTGCTGCTTTCTTCAGTAAAGACAGAAATACTAATGTAGCATTAAAGTTGAGCAGAAAAGATGACTTACATTTGTAATAACAGTCAGCCCGCATTCTGTTAAATATATATATATATATATATATTTTTTTATTATTATATTAAATTATTTATAGGGCTATTTATAGGACTATTTTGTAGGGCTTTTTTGTGATTGCAGTTGAGATTGTTGTATAATAAATATATAATGTATTTAAAGACTGTGTTGCATCAGATGCAGCTTCTATGTCATCTTAGTTGTGTAAAGACTTCTTAAAAATAGAGCAACAATTCTATCTATGAATATATTTGAGCTGTCCATTTAATTTAGTGTTTAATTATATATGTTGAAAAATAATGCATTTGATCATGCTTCCTCATTCATACATAAAATTCCTTAATAAGGATTTTCCTTTCTTCTGAGCAATTCAAGCTTGAAATACCACCTAATTGCAATCCCCACAGAATGCATTCTTGCATTCAAAGACAGCTGGATGGAGTGCAGCAGAGTGGATCGGAGCACAGGGTTCTCAAGAATTTGAGAACCTGACACGTTTATGGGGACATTCCATAGGTGTATGGTTTTTATTCTGTACAAACTGTATTTTCTATCCCCTTACCCTAAACCTACCCCTCACACAAAACTACAGGCATTTTTAGACTTTTAAAATGTTCTGTTTGATTTACAGTACAAGCCATTTTCCTCATGAGGATCTTAAATTAATGAATTAATTAATTCCCCACAAGATCAAAACTTGTGATTACTATCCCTGTGGGGACATTTGGTCCACATAATGTAAGGAATGCCAGGACCCCACACACAAATTGGTGTGTCACTATTAAGACGCGTTTAAAAAAGCTCTGGTTGTTTGTCAGTGCTGGAGAAAGGGTTTGTATTAACTTGCTTCCAGATGAGACACCTATTTTACTGTCCCCCTCAGCTGAAATGGAAAAGACAAATTCCAGTGTTTGTTTTTAAAGCACCAGAAGCATCTGTTTATTTTTCATTTTGTCATTTTAATTGTCCTCCGCTCTGCCTCCCAGTGCAGGGAGAGAACGCTAACTCAGTCGAAAATTGCTTTTCCTACAGAGATTAGAATTTCAACCTCAGGTCTTGTTAAAGGAATATTTTATACACCTAAAAATGAAAATTCTGTCATTAAAAGAATCTACTTTACAGAATGCCAGGGGTTTTCTTTTCTAGAATGAGGACTGATACTGAACAAATACAGTCCATATGCTATATTACAAATCTTCTGAAGTCATACTATATCTTGCCCACTGTTCACTGTTGCACATTGCCAAATTTCTTTCTGAAGTGGCTTGTAACTGAAAGCAACAACTTTGAATATGTTTGTTTTTGCTTTGGTACTATTTTCACAAGCACAGTTTCAAAATTCTTCTTCTGCCAGTCTTTCAAAACCAGATCTCGTGTTTTCATTCCAGCTGAACATGTGATTTTAAACAAT